CACATATTCCACGACCAAGTTTCTTCATTTCATTCTCCAATTTCATTCTCCGATTTCAGTGGACACTTTTGAAGTCGATTTGCTCGAATTATCCCTGTCATAAAAATGCCGTCGTTTAGGAGCTCCTTTAGCAAAACAATGGAAGTAAAATAATTGTCACAAAACAATTTGTACCCTTGATGCTTGGGAATTCGATTTGATAAATAAATTACGAGTCCATTAGTTGGAGTAAACTTATCTTGCAAATTAGTAGGAATAGTTGTAGATCCTTGGTAAACTACTGAGCGGTATATAATACCAGATTCACCGCAAAGCATAAAAATTTTTATTCCCCATGGATTGGGCTTTCCTTTTATATATTATTTTATTGAAACTTTATCTTTGTAAGGAATCATTGATTCGTCTATACAAAGGCTTTGCTCCAGGTCTAATGATTCACATCGGTTTTCAAAAGAATTTATTATTGGTCGCACTATCCAAAGTTTATCACTAGCATTATGTTCTTGGTTGAGGTCTACAATATGTAAGTGGTTTCGCAAGGCTTCAAATCTGTTGCGTGACATTTGAATATCGTCAAAAAATTTGATTTTTGTGGAAGGTGCCCAATACATCCGTAATCTAGGAAAGCGGATTATACCCATGACAATATGAAGTTTTACGAGCTTGCGAACCTCTTGTTCGTGTGTATTGATACTTCTGCTCGACTTATGAACGGAATACATATTTGTTTTTTCTGGCAAATCTTTATATATTTCGCTGGGAAAGTATCTAGAAAAATATATCAATGGACTCAAATTTTCACCCTGTGAATTGCAGACACTGTGGTTTGGTGGAGAAAAATCTATATTTGGCCGTGAATATTGAGCTTTCTTCCACATTAGGTTCTCAATTGCCTTTGGTTTCTTTTTTTCCCGCAATCGATGTAGTCGTTCTGCTAATGGTATATCATCTACATCTTCAGTTTCGTTTGTTGAATTGATATTGTTTTATTTTTTTCACTCTCAATTTCATGTTCAGAAACTACATCATCAATTTCATGTTCAGATTCTACAATATCAGTTTCACTTTCTTTTTCCTCATTTTCTGACTCATTACCATTAGTTTGAAATTCATTTGTTTCATATTCTTCTTCTATATCAGACTCGGGCAAATGAGCTAGAGCCCCCTCTGCATCTGTTAGACTTACTTTTTTTGCAATAGTTCATAATTTACTGTAAAACTGCATTGGTGGAATACTGTTGCAATCTAAAAACGGTAAAATTACTTCACAATATATAATATATTGAATCAGTCGCAAAAACCTATTGGTGGCAATTACGTACACATATTTGAAGGGTCTATGAAGAAGGCACTTTTATAAAAAATATGAAACTGAGTTAGCAAAGCAACTAATTATATATCTATATACTAATTATGTATGCACATAAGTCATGAAAAAGTCAATTAATAATTAGATACACTAATATTTTTTACTTACCAAAGATATTGTTGATGAAATTTGACTCCATCTTTACAAAAATGAAAACACCTCTCATCAAAACATTGAAAATAACTAATACCGATGGTATTATTTACATTTTCACAGTACCCATGGTCACCACTAGTGTCACCTCGTAGCCAGATTATTTATCGTTCTTGGCGCTAGAATGCTGTAAATATAGCGATGGCAATTGCCTCCGGGAGGACCGATAGGGTTAATGTCAGTTCGCGGAAAACGTCAACTTTGCATTTTTTCGAAGCGCAAAAGCCTACTTTGGATAGTGATCATAGAAAAATATTAATTCTGCTTTTAGACTAAATTTAACAAAATAAAGGCATGAGGTGGACATGAATCGTAAAATCATTTGCACCAAAATAAAACAAATTCCATCAGCATAAAATGAATGTATTGCACTTTTAATAATTATAAGTTTTATACTTTGATATCTAGAACTTAGGACATGTCAATTTAATTTTCACTTAAGTAATAAAGTCTGACATCTTTTTTTAATGAACATAACATTTCGAAGTTAAATCAAATTGATGATTAAGAAAGTGCTTGGAACATAACTCGCTCTATTTTGTAGGTAACCAAGAATTTCTGTTTATAGAATGTATCATTTTTACTTCGTTTTAGATCACGTGGAAATCTATATAAATAAATAAAATTGTATTTATTTTGTAAATAAATAAGTGTTGTATGTTAATTTAGCACATAGTTTCTAATGATTATTTATTTCTGTTGATGATAATAAACCATTATTTAATCTAATTCTGATGACTATATCAACATTTACTTTATTACCACTGTATTTGTACTAATTTATGAACTGGTATTTTTGAGATTTCACACAAATAGTTTAAATAAAAGCATATAATTAATATAAAAACATTAAAACAATACATCACAAAATATACTATCATAAGTGAAGGAAGTGTAGCAACAATATGGCGGACGAGGTGACTATTTTGGCTACGTGATTGCATCTCCTTCCCGTTTCTACCTCCATAGATGAAACACAAATTTCTTACTCAAATAACTCGCCATGGAGGTTCAAAATAAATTGAAATACAACCTTTGACCATAACCATTGAGCTCGATGAACATAACAACAAATAACAATAGTGACAGATCACAAATGATATGACAGAACACACTTGTTGACAGAATTTTGTTTTTTAACAAACCAGTGACGTATTGCATTGAAACTTGCATAATTGCATTACACTGCAAAAAATAATATATTTCGGATATACCGGCCATTACTACTTTATATTAGATAAAAAATGGTACGTCAAAATTTTAAGTTGAATACTCAATTTTAGTGAAATAGGTGGTGGGCATTTACATTACATAATTCGTCTTTAGAACATTGAGCCTATCTAGTAGGCGATGATATTTTTGTAACAAATTTTGTCTGACAGTATAATCTAGTTTACAGGTTTATTTAGTGACAGTTGTCAAATATAATTAATTGTAAGTTACATAAGGTTATAGTGATCCTTTCGTCAATAAGTGATGGAAATGAACAAGGAGCATTATCAGGCTGTGATTTTTTTTAAATTTCAAGCTTTGCTTGAACCGTAAAGAATGTCTAGAGGAAATCAATGGAGTGCTTGGTGACAAGTCGTGTTCCTTCGCTACCGTAAAACGGTGGTACAGTTAATTTCAGCCTGGTGGACTTTCCTTAAATGACAGTTTTCAAGCTCCTAAGCCAAAAATGGCAGTTACTGAAAAAATATTGATCTTATTCGGAACATGATATGACCGGCACATTACTGTCAGAAACATTCAAGAAACTTTAAAGATTGTTGTGAAATCAATTAACACTATTTTACACAAAACTTTGTTTTCGGTGAATTCTCCACAGCTTGACTTTTGCTCAAAAAGAAGACCATGTAAGATGGTGCAGTTCTACAACAGATCGCTTTGACTGTGGATCGTCTAATTTGGTGTACAACAATATCACAGGTGATGAAATATGGGTATTTTGCTATGATTCCGAAAAAGCAGAATCGTCAGTTTGGGTCTTTGAGAATGAGTCGGCTACAACAAAAGTTGTTCGTAAAAAAAAGTCAAAACAAAAATATGTTTGCTACTTTTTTTGGAATTACTGGGCATGTTTCCACACTGGAGGATAGACGTATTGTTAATTCAGAATAGTACACTACAGTTTGTTTACCTCAGGTTCTCCAAAAGGTTTTCCAAAATACATTGACTGTGGAGGAGAATACTCTGAAAAATTATAAATATATAAGATCGTGCAAAGGCTGAAAATTGGTTTTAAAACACATTTAAACCGATTCTGATTAATGAGTACTTGCGAGGCAATATAGCCACTAGCAAATCGATCCACTTTGAGCAATCTATGTAACTATATGTATATATATCATTGACCGTGTCAAAGCCAATAAGCTCAAAAGGTTGCCATATCAATGCCCACAGGCAGCATTTTGACAGGTTGTTGGAATGCTTAACTGGGTATACACAGAACGATGTCTGCCGTTGGCTACACTTTCCTTAACCAATCATCAACACATTTTTTTGACAGGATAGGAGAATACATGTTGATGATTGGTTAAGGAAAGTGTAGCCCTCCGACATAGTTCTGTGTATGCCCAGTATGGCTACGTACTGTCCACAAAACACGAATACGGGCCTGTCTGTGACAACTATCAATTGTTAGTGACATCCTGTTTTAAATATATCTATTTGATCGCTTTAAAAATCTATGACGTAATATTAAAACTGGTTTTAAAAGTTCTTGAAAATATTTTTAAACCAAAGAAAATGCCCATTTAGGCTTAAATTATACACTGTGTTCCATAAAGTTGAATCACCTTTGCTTATTTATAAATTTAAAATAGCCCATATCAAAGTTGACTACAGACATTAGTTTTCCGTCAAATTGGCATTAAAAAAAAACAAATTTGAACGATTTAAAAAAATATAGAATTTGACCGATAACTAATGCAGTACCTACCCAACTTTAATATAGGGTATTTTAAGTTTTTTTCCAAACGTAATGTTAAAAAAAATCATATGGATCTAACTTTATGGAACACCACTGTATTATCGGACATAGAGAAAACTGTGGTAATTGTTTGACAGTTCAAACTTCAAAACGACTACATAAAAAGCCATGTCGATCCGAATTGTTACATGAAATTTACTGCAATAAATCGCAATGGCATTGTTAGTACAGTTGGATAAAAATATTGTTTGTGTATTTCGTGGCGAAATCAATGTTTTACGACGCATTCGTTTCGTTTGAATTTTTAATACAAAAATAATTAATATAACAAAACAGCTACACTTGGTCCAGTTATTTTTTACATGTGCGTCACACCTGATATTCCTAGGAAACAAGTAAAGACATTTTAGTCAAATTAATACCTGTCTTGAAATTAGAAGACCTATATTTTATTTATCGTTTGAGCATACCTCCACTTATGCGCTGTTTATAAGTAATTTTTGTTAGAATTTTGTTTAAATTTTTGATACATTTTTTTGTGTACAGTCTGATAAAACCACTAAAATATAACGCGAAGCGAAAGCAGTGTCCACACGGGCCCATTGCGACCATAACGAACGACAGTCAAGTGAAAACTTACATGGATAACAGCAACGGAGTTAGGAATATCAACTCTAACGCTTATAATAAGGTAAGTTTATCATTTCCGTCATCATCATGTCATAGATTCAATAATAATGATCTATTTGATTTGAATGTTACAGATGTCACCGGGAAGAGATGGCTGCGAGTTGGACATGGAGCCGTCTGCTTCCCAATCCCAAGACTGCGAACCCACGCCCCCCTTACAGAGGCACGGCTCCAAAAGCAACTTCTTCCTACCGTCGGCAGCTAATACGGTCGACGGCGAATCTCCCAGCAGAGTTGGGTAAGTATCTCAACCGTTCTTGGAACTTTTTGGTCCTCCATTACTCCATATTCTTCTGCATCCTTTTTACTTCCTCTTAATTTTGATAATTTTGATATTAGTAGAGATTTCAAATTCATTCTACATTAGAATGTTTCTAAATCATTTTTGAACATTTGTTCTTATCTCTCAAATAGTTCAGGCCTCTATATCTAGATGGCCACGACTTGATCTATGTAGATACCAGTTTTGAGGTACTATTTCCTATAATTTAAACATTTTTGTCACTTTTGTGCATAATCCAAGGATGCACATACTCCAATTTTATCCTATATCGATACCAAACCGTTTCTATTACTAAAAGAACAAGGTACTAATTAAATTAAAGTCTGTCGTTTAGCCACTCCCAGGGAGCGGCCTCCAGGCCGATCGCGCACTACTCTCGAAGCAGTCCTCACCCGAGGCCGCGGGGACTGGATCCGAATCGCAGCGGCACGCCCGACGCTCTGGGCGGGCAGCAGCAACGCCCCTCCCCCACCATGCAGCAAAGGATAAAGGCGTTAGGCGTTCCCACGCCGCTCACGCTCTCCACTCCGGTCAGAAGGTGAGATTTATTTTTCATATTTGAAAACAAAAAACTGTTATGTATTACGCTAGGTGTAGTAGAGAGCGAGTTTGTTTGTTAGTTGATTAATTGTTTTTCTTAATGTTGATTTGACTTTTTATCGAGAAGGTGGAAGGTAGAGTATGCAATAAGGAAGCTGTTTATTGCTTTTATATTTTTTAGAAATTGTATTTCGGAAGTTTCTAACATGACCTTGGAATTTCCTAAAATGACATTAAATCTTTTTAAACTTACCTTTAACTCTAAAAAATGGTCTTGTTTTTTTAAATGAGCATGTTTTTGAATGAACTGAACTTTTCTGAACATACAATATTACATATGACTTTCCTATATATTCAGGGACAACCTTAATGAATGACCATTTTACAAAACCTAGAATTTTTAAAATATTATCTTTAACTATCTCCTTCTAAAGAAAATTTTATAATTTTTTATATTGACCATGAACATTTTCCCTAATATATACTAAAATAAAAAAAAAAACAACAAAAAATCTCTAAATTGATGACCTTCCGTTTACTAAATTGACCTAGCATTCTAAAAAATACCTTGAAACGTTGTTAAATGGCCTTGGAATTTCCTAAAATATCCTTTAAATTTTTTAATAGCATTCAAAATTTTAACAGCCTTCAGAAATTTTAAAATTACCTTATTTTTTATGATTTTTTTTTTATTAGACTAATTTTGCTAAGGTGGCCTTGAAATTTTCCAAAATGACCTTCAAATTGTCCAAATTAACTAATTTTAAACGTTTCTACAATTATCTCAATGGATCAATTATTTTTCTCAATAATGTTTTGAGTTCGACACCAAAAATTCCTGCCTACACGGTTTTTATTCAAATTCAAAGAATAATTTTAGTTGTAAGAAATGGCCTTGGAATTGCTGGCAAATACAATTGCCGCCCGATGAATATTTTCTCGAAACCCAGCAGCAAAAGTACGCGAATAACGAGTGGATTCGTAACGACCTTCAAAATGCCACTTTGCTGTGTTACGAGAGTGAAACTGATACGATGACCTTGAGCGTAGAAGTGGCCAAAAAGAGCGTCAGCGAAGACGGATATACGTCAGATCTAATCTAAGTAGATTGTATTATGTAGGTGTCTGCAAATATATGTATATTCTTAGTCGCATTTTGTTACTTTATTCTAGTTTTAGACTTCATAATAACTAGTAATGAAATAATTTACTGTAAGGCCTGGCTTTTGGCCCCAACACTATTCCTATGACATATCAAGGCGCTCTCAAGTCAAGTCGCTTATAATTCTTATCGAGAGCTTTTGAGATGTTAAAAATCTTTTTTTTTTATTAAAACTACTCTATATTCGAATTTTTGATAATCTAGATATATTTTTTAAAGCCAACTGTCTTATCGCTTCTTTATTACACACTCGTGCTTTACACTTCTCTTCCCTTCATCGCGAACTGTTTTTTTTTTATTTATTTTTCTTACGTAATTATAGGTAATGCATGCATGAATGATGGAATATCTACCTCTGCCTTTAAACAGATAATAATCCAGTGTTTTTCTTTGGATTTTCGAAGAGAATCTATAACAAGCATGATGATTATTTAACAATAGTTTGTACCTTCCTCGTGACATATGGACAATAAGAGAGAATATTTCGCTTATACCAAGACACAAATAATACAATGAGGAAATAGAACGAATACACACAATTTAATATAACAAGTGGTTCTTTAACTAAACTTAATTTACTACTTAAAAGATACCTTTGTGGTTATCGCATTTAATGCACATTAGAGAGAGTTAAATATGGCTGTGAATTTGCCGAGGTCGTTCGATGTGTCTTCCCCTCTCTAACTGCAAGTGTCCCTTTCAAGTAGAGAGTAAAGTTTACTTACAAGGGAATTTATTAATTATTTGTGGCTCTGGTTGCTATCAATTTGTCGACAATATGATATCCTATTTTCTATATTGATCATAAATAACTTGAATATCGCTAAAACCGATTAAGTGATATAATTGACTTGCCAGATGTCTTTATCTCAACTATACATCAATTTTTCAAGATATCCATTCATGTTCCTAATCCTTAAAATTATTCTTGGCAGCTATTATTTTATTACTATTACTTTTCTTGTCACTAATGGCACCTGTCATGTCATTACTGTCACCTGTAGGTATCTGTCCTTAGTCATTTTTGTTGCTTAATCGGTTTCAACGAATATGCTAATTTTATTTGTGAACATTTTTGTTTTAAAGTTGTTTATTTTCTAAAAACAAACATTTGGAATCGGATGAATTTTGATGGAAATTAGGACTAGTTCGAGGTACTTGTTACAAATGATATTGTCCGTTTTTTAATTAAAATAAAAAAAAATTATTTATTATTTTAATTCTTTTAACCCATCGCTTTAAAGCTTTGTTGTAATAATATTGTGTATTGAATTTTACTAACTCTTTAATTTTTAAACAAATGTTTACCAGGTTTTCGAATTAAGGTAAGTATACAGGGTGTGTCACGGTCGATGGGAAATTACCCATGAATGGGAAAGTAAAGCGGCATGAATTTTTGGAATATGCATTTTTAATGTAAACATTTTCATTGTCGTTTTAACTTTGTAGGAGCATACAACTTTTTATTTAAAATGACCTTGTTTCTAAAAAGTACTGAAATATTTATGAAATATTTATGTTTGTAAAGGTGTAAAGTGTTTCTTAAGATCCTCTTAGTTTTTAAATGACCTTAATATTTTTAAAAATAAACTTTAAATAGCTTCAGATTTTCCTAAAAAATCCTTCATATTTTTCAATATGACCTCAGGTTTTCTTAAAATAACCTTAGAACTTTCTTTTTTTCTTAAAGTATTAAATTTTTTGTGATAATCTTGTTTACAAAATCGCATTTTTTTTTTCTAAAGTGACCTTTGTTTTTAAAAAAATCTTTTTCTAAATTGGCTTTTTCACAATTACCTTTTTTCTAAAATAGTTTTTTTTTTTCTAAATTACCTTTTATCTTAATTACCTTTTTTGTTTCGAAAGGATATTTTTTAAGACATTTTTTTTCTAAAATAACAAATAAATATGATTTTATTGGCATGTGAAAATTACAAAATTAAAATACTATAATTTATTAAAAATAATTAGCCAAAAGGAGCCAGAATATTTTAAAATTGCCTTCAACTCAACTGATTTAAGGCGACCTTGAAGTTTTCTAAAAAAGTTAAAAGTATAGCCACAAATACTTTTTAACTTTAGTATCTTTCACATACACTCAATGGCTCACTATCATGATACACCCTGTATACAAGTACAAAATATCGTCCTTAAAGTAATAATAAAAAATATATTAGGCAACGCATTCACTATATTTAAAGTAGGTACAATTAAATTTTAAATTCTGCGAATTGCCTGCATAATTTTTTCTTGAGTTTGGAATTATTTTTTTTCTTTTAAGAATTTTTTTGTAATATTACCAATATCAGTTGTAACGATTTACTTTTTTGGAATGATTAATTTTTTTCGATTAAATTAGTGTTTTTCTGAAAAATTATAAATAGGTAGACCTTTAAATAACGCAAATTCAAATAATTCGTTAAATTTTAAATTAGTTTTTTTTTGTATTTATTTGTTCTGTTTGTCTCGAATATTTTATAACAAACAAAAATGATTTTGTTTTCAATTTAATTTTCCCTTATTTTTCTTTTTGTAAAATATAAATTGTTTCTAGTAAAAACTTTTTGTTATTTATTTTTAAAATCGTTTATTTTTTTATTTCTTGAAAGTATAAAATAAAATTTAATGATATACTCCCATTACATATTTATATTTTTGTTGAAGAGAAATATCGAAAACTATTTTTGAATACTTCATTTTTCTGTACATTCCTGTAAATATTTAGCTGTTAACCGAATCGAAAGATATTTAAGTTTTTTGGTACCTAACGATTTAAAATAAAAAAAATATCGACCCAAAAAATATTTGTTATACAATTGGCGTGTCTTTAGTTGTACAAAAGCTGTATATATATATTTTTAAAATGGTTTTTGGTGCCTTTAGTGTTTGAATAATTATGGAAAAACTTTATAAAAAATATTTCTAATTCGAGCTGGAGCCAAACCCTATAACCTCCATAGTATCAGCATGTCGTCAGATATTTTACAGGAAAAATATAACATTTTTGGATGCCGATAAAATTTTCAAAGAATTATAAAAAATTAGAAAAGGATAACGATAGCAAAAATTTACTCTTTACAGTCAAATCTCGAATATAATGGATATTTTATTGATTTTCTAAATGTATTCAGTAAGTCGTCGGCTGGAATTAAGACAAAAAATTACTCTAAAGTACAGCATAGCTACCCTGATAACAATGAAGGTTTTGATTTCTTTTGACAAAATTTCACCATGCGCAGAGATGAGAACGATCAGAAAAAAGGTATTATAAAGGGTGTCCAAATTTGACCTTCGGATTTAATTTAATAATAAATAACAAAAAACCCTTGAAATATTATATATTATTTTAATATTATATATTATTTTAAAGTTTAAATGTTAATAATGAAAAATGATCCGGCATGTGACCCCCTCTGCTTCTTTAGCATGCTAACATTCTTTAACCAACATTTTCAATAACATTTTCGCAAACATTCTGTTCAATTTCTTCAATTTTTTGAATAATGTAAACTCGAAGCTGTTCAGGTGTTTGAGGGTTTTTAGCATAAAGTTGTCCCTTCAAAAAGCCCCACAGGAAATAATCCAATGGTGTACGGTCGCACATCCTAGGCGGAGAAATTATTCGATTGCCAAATCTATCCCTTAAAAAAATTAGTGCTTTATCCGATGTGTGGCGAGTGGCACCGTCTTGCTGGAACCACATGTTCTGAACAACCATACATTCTAATTCGTTCCACAAATAATCTCTAATCACTGTCTTGTGTCGCGCCCCGTTCACAGTTATCACATCACCAGCTTCATTCTGGAAAAAATAAGGACCAGTAACGTCACCAGATTAAAAACCACACCACTCAGTCACATTTACTGGATACAGTCGTTTTTCCAATATTTCTCTTGGATATTTTTCAACGCATATTCTGCTGTTGAAATCTCTTCATAAAACTCTGAATAACTTTAACATGCGTACGGCATCTTTTGCAGTTTTAGCAAAACATTCCCCATTTTGGTAATAAGTTTTCACAATAAAAACAGGGATTCCGATGGACAGTTGGTCCATGTTGAGAAAAAAACAAGTATCCGCAAAGTTTTTACTTGACATATGTCACCATAGAAATACTGTTAATATATTTCTTTTCAAACTTCAAATTTTTGCCGCTAAAGAGCATCAAAAAACAATGTATTTATTTTTGCGGTTTTTCGCATTTTAAATGTAACATTTGGCGAGACCGAGTAAGACGACAAGCGCCATCCCAAATGTGCTTTATATAATTACATGTGTTCAGATGTGAAAAGGCCGTTTTCTCGCCTTTCCAAATGGTACCTTATGAAAACCACGCACTTTGGTAAAAAATTTCCTATCAAACCTATGAAACAGATTTACCGGAAACACGTCGTTTCAGCCGCTACAGCGCATGCTAGTAAGTTGCTGTTCCATTTTTCGTATTGTTCATTTAAAAAGAAACTGAATATGTTTAGTTAAATTTCACAATTCCTAATATTGCATCTACATTTTTTTTTTAACCAAGCGGACAATTTTGGCAATAATTAAATGATTATTTATTGAAAACACGACTTTCACTTTCTGCGCATGCGCTGTAGCGGCAAAAACGATGGGTTCTTGGAAAATCTGTTCGATAGGAAATTAGTCGCCCTACAACTTGCTTTGATAACATTTTCCACCAAAATGCGTGGTTTTTATGTAAAATGCGAAAAACCTCAAAATATATACATTTTTTTTGGCATGCTCTAGCGACAAAAATATGAAGTTTGGCAAAAAATAATCGACATAATCGATAAAAAATCGTTTGTTCTTTAAAAAAAGTAAAATTTTTCTTGGAAACTCATCGTTTTTGAGTAAAATACAAAAAGATGGGAAAAAAACGCCGAAAAATGTATACGGTGTGACAATTTAAAAACTTACAGACACTTATTATTGAAAATAAGGTTTTATTGGCCTTTAGAGATTTTTGATATTTAAACTTGATGAGGG